AAACAGCCCAAATGCCCAAAAATAGATGACTGGATCAAGAAGATGTGGTCCATATACACCATGGAATATTACTCAGCATTCAAAAAAGATAAGCACATGCAATTTGCAGCAACATGGATGGCGCTGGAAGGGATCATGCTCAGCGAAATAAGCCAGAAAGAAAAAGAAAAATACCGGATGGTCTCACTCATAGCAGGAATCTAGAAAACTTAAATAAGGGACCAGGAAAATGAATAACTATAAGAAAGTGAGAATCAGAATCAACAAAAAACTATGAAACAGAGACACTTTTGGGGGGGTGGGTGGCGGGAGGGGAGGGATTGGGATCAGAAAGGGGGGGTTGCAACTGTATGGGGAATATAAAAATAAAATTTATTATTAAAAAATATATATATATATAAATTATGATATATCTGTACAGTAAGTCCTCAGTGTTCTCGAAAAGTTCTTGAGAGCTAAGAGTAAGAGATCTCATGTAATAAAACCAGTGTTACCAAGGGCTAATCAATATCACTAAGAGTCAAGTTCCTAGGGCATATTTCTGGTTGCAAAAACATGACCAAACTTCTACATAGAGATCCAAACACTTATAATATTCAACATTCATTTACATTCATTCACTCATTTTCTAACTCACTCAATTCAGGTCAGGTTCATGGATGACCAGAGCCCATCTGGGAGCCTAAGGTGCAAGGCAGGAACAGCCCTGGACAGGACTCCCTCCATCACAGAGCATGCTCATGCACACTCAGCCTGGGGCAATTCAGACAAGCCAACAGTCCTAGCGGGCCCCTCTCTGGAAGAAAGGAAATCCACACAAATATGACAGAACATGCAGCTCCCCCTCCCGCACATAGGTGCACTGTAAGGCATCAATTGTTTTTTCCTCATCAAAATCATAACAAAACAACACTGAATAAACTGACATTCAAGGACGTGCTGTCTTGGGGACGTGCTGTCTTGGGGGATAGAGGGGGAGGAAGATAAAATGATAAGCTACTACAACGGGAAGTCAACAGATAATGTTTAAAAATGTTGAATCAAGAAATAGCATAATGTACTTACTTGTTCAGAAATCTAGCAATAAATGCCAGAAATTTCCAGAAAGAGTTGAGAGTTCCCTCAGAAAGGTAGAAGTGTGTGTTGCCGAAATGGTAAGGGCCAGTGTTACTGCCATTGATCTTTTAACCCTAGTTCACCTTAAGCTACGTGCACAAAATATGCTGAGAAAAATATAAATGAATTTAATTTCATCTTGGATTGGAAGTACTATAATCGAACAAAAAGCAAGTTCTAAAAAAAAACTGGAGAACCATCTTATCTATCCTTTATGGATGTTTTTATCATTTGAAGTTTTTATCACTTGAACATATGCTGAAAGAGATTTTCTATTTTATTTGGGGGAAAATTAAAAGTCCTGGTTGGAGTACCTCACGCTAATGGGATAGAAGAGTGCATAAACCCGCCCGCACCTGTGCCAACACTGCCTAACATTGGCTGCCTCACCTGCTGGTGGACAGGTCTGACCATGGGAGGGAAATACAGACTCACAGGCTCCCACTAGGCCCCCTGCCCCAAGGGCAGGGCGTTTCACACCCCACGTCACTGCTGGCTTTTACTGGAGAGCTCACAGTACTGCCAACCCTGGTGACCCCACTGGGGTGCAGACCTGCACGACAGTGATGCAGGGAAGGGGAGGGTGCACAGTGATGGCATCTGAAGTGACAGGTGTGGCTAGGTGTGCATGTGAAGGGCTGGCAGTGCAGTCTGTGGTTAGGAATGGGGAAGGGAAGTCATCTGAAAAGAGAAAAGCTGTTCTGTAAAATCCAAGAGTTGGCAGGAAAGCCTGGCCACCGCTGCTAAGGGGAGAATAGAGGAAGGCACGAGAACAGTTCAGTCAAATAGCCTCAGGGCAGTGGGCAGCGAGGGGCTGGCTCCCAGAACCCTGGCTTGGCATCCCGGGTGGCCAGGTGGCGGCTCTGTGGCCCTGTCCTCCTGATAGAGGTCTTCCTTCCGCTGGGCCACTCTGCATGAACTAGAATTCTGCCTGCACTGGCCTGGGTGCCTGGCCTGTGTGTGAGGTCATGATGAAGAGGCCCGAGTGGGGCTGGGGTCAGGCGGCAGTAGCTTCCACACCTTTCCCAGGTGGGGCCGGTGAACCATATTCAGGACTCACTTCTTTCTTCCTTTTTTTCCTCTTTGATTTTTTGAGTGAGGCATCTGATTAAAGATTGAGGCAATTTAGCTCTTGTTTATAAGAAACAGAATGTGACAGAGTCCACAACTCAAAGTGACACCATCACAGACACACCCTGGCACCACCCCCCAATGCCCACTGCAGGTGGGCTCTACATGCTGTAACCTCAGCGGCACATCCAGGGGAGAACAGACCCAGCATGACATTGGGTCCAAGGTGAAGGTCTCTAGCAAACCTAAGTTTCAGCAACTTAAGCAAAATCAGCAAGAAGTCCTTAAAGAAATCTGAACCGCACGGCTCTCCCCTGATGAGGCACTGACACACTGTGCGAAGCGGAGCCCAGAGCAGCAGCACAGAGCACAAAGTCAACAGGGCCAGGAATTTCAAGGCAGGAGGAAAAGATCCCCCAAAATGAGGGAAGTCGGGAATGACTCATGCGTGAAGTGTGCAGATGACCACTGATAACCAACTAAGTGGCAGACCAGCTTCAGACAGTCCAGCCACTGATGGCTTAAGAAATTATTGTGAAGCTCAGGAGATGCTAGAAAGAAAACATTCAATGGCGTCCAGGGGCTGGATGCTGCCTATCATGGCGGGGGGGCGGGGGGAAGCTTCTTCCTTCTGCAGTCCAGCACAAGGGCAGAGCACTCGGTAAGAACACGTGCAGATATCCCAATCTTATTCAAGATGGAAAAACCCTTCCATTAGATCAGCATTTAATACTATCTGGACCTCCTAATAAAAGCCTCTTTACTAATGATGCATAGGTTATAGGACAAATAACCAAGCACTGCAGACACCTTGCAGGAGAAGCTAAACAGCCTTCATTAGAGACCAGATAACCCATGTTTCAGTTTCCCATGAAAGTAAGTCCTGCCATGAAACAGGAGATGAATTGGCAAGAAGAAGCGCCTAGGAGAGGGACTAGGGAGCACAGGACTAGAGGCGTACATGCACCTGCATCTGCAAACAGCCTGCCACCACCACGTACCACAGGGCTGGAACATGCTAGTTGTCTACCAGGGTAAAGAATATCGTAGTTACCATCGCTTATCACAGGTGCAGATGTGGCCCCCATTAGCTCACGGCGCTTTCAGAATTTTCAATTATCCACTCAATAGCAGCCCACCCCTGCAGCAACAAAGAAAGATTTCAACACGGGGTAAGAAATTTTGCCTCCTCACTGCAGACAACACACTACAAGCCTGTAATATAAATTGTGGGGGGCGGGGGGAGTGCTACAGCTTTACAGGAGGCCGTAGCAGCCACTCATGAGCTGTCTTTCACTATAACATGCTATTTCTCAAGCTCAGAAATAAGAGGGCATGTATACAGTGCCTAAAATTCTCACACCAACCTGAGCTAGACGGACACAGTGCCCTGTATCTGCACCTCATCTGAATATGGAATGGGAGGAGGGGCGAGGGAGGGTGGGGAGTGGCAGTGGCCCTTGCAGCCTCCTCAGAGTCCTCCCAGACCTCAGCCTCTCAAATCCCAGGACAACCTGCCTGTCCGCATCCACCTCCATCTCTGTCCTCTCCAGCACCCCGTCTCCATTTCACGTCCCTGCCCTTTGCCCATTAGCTGTTCCCAGTCACCTTCACAACTGACCAGGGCTGCTGTCACATGGTAACAACAGCTGAGGGAGGCAGTGATTCTCCTTCAGGCTTTCAACACAGAAACCCCTAGGATCAAGTGAAACTGAAGAATTTCATTTGGTCTCACTAAATTTATCCTGAATTTCTGATGAAAGGTGTGAAGTGTCTTTGGCTCATGAACATTTCCTTCCTCCTATGAGTTGGGTTCTATGCCCTCCTTGGGGGGGGGGGGCCTTGCAGCATGGATGTGACACCAGGCAGCACCATGTTCCCTACCTTTCCTGAACTACATTAGGCTACCAATATTTCTTAAATGTGGTTTCTCTAAAATGTAGGGCAGATGACTTCTACTAATAATTAGTCCAAGTGCAAGCCATCATTGGCTTTCCATAAAGCTGTGACCTAAGCATGGCAGGAGGGAAGGTGCAGTTTAGGCAGCATCCCACTGATCCCCAAAATGCAGAATCCCTTCTAACAAAATAAATTAATTAATTAAATTTAAAAATAAATAAATACTGGGAGAGAAAGGTAAAGAGAAGAGCCAGGGATGGCTTGTAAAGGAAGGACAGTTGAGGGGCCTGTGAGGTAATCTAAGGCAATAAAATAAACCCTCTGCTTTGACCTTGAACTTGTATAACATCTTCCTGCCACACATTCATGTTCTATCAACTCTGCCAGAGAGGAGAGCACTCTGTCTCTGTGAGCAGTCTCTGCCTTTAATGACTGAGCCCTACACCCAACGACCCCAGGCAGACACCTCCAGGTCCAGCCTCCCTCCCATCACCTCTACAGAGCTCATTCCCAATCCTGCCAGAGGGGATATGCAAAGTACCTGGCTCCAGGGAACCAAGACAGACAGAGAAGCTCAGTCACTTAATGCCTATTAAATAGGAATCTACTGAGAATCCCAAACATTTGCCTGATGAAGCTAACACAGATACTCATTTTGAGGTATTATGTACTGAGTTTTTTATTAACTAAACCTATACTATTTCCACTCCGAAGTGGTAGCTGCCTCAGCTGGGCTTATGCTTCAGGTTCACCCTATGCTTTGTCCGCCTTGCCTGCCACTCATTTTGAATGTAACTCTGGAACATGCTGTGGCATTATGAGCTCGGCAAGAGACAGTGAGTCCCGACACTCCAGAGAGCATTTAAGCGACACTCAACAGCTGGAGCATACAGGTCTGGCACTGACATCCATACCTTTTTTGCATTCGATGATATTGTGCTGGCCATTAAGCTTTCTAGATAGCTGCCCAGGCTGATCCCTTTGACGGTGATGATGGCTTCTTGCACAAGCACGGTCCTACAGAAAGACAAGCAATAAAGAGGTTGAGCAGCCCTGAAAGTAGGGAGGCTCACCCCACCCTGATCTTGGAGTTCAACATGTCAACCCCAGGATATGACTTACATTTGAGGGTTCTCTGGATGGGGTGTGTACACCAACCTCTCATTCACGGACACCAAGTTTGTGAGTGTGATCTTTAAGAAAAACAAGGACTTTAGGTTCTTTTTCTCTTGAATTTCTTTTCTGACCATCTGCCTATACTCCTCTACCCCCAATTTAGCACTTACAGGAGCCAGAATAGAAGAAACTTTTAGGCTCAAAAAACACTGCCACGTATGAAGTGCCAGGAAAACCATCATGGCTGCTGTGGCAACCTGCCACTCCCACACCCACCCCTTCAAATTACTTTCAAGCTGCCAAACTGTCAGCTGCTGTAGAAAAGGACAAAATATTCCTGGATAAGCACCCAGGAAAATGAACAGGATGCTTCTCTGTCCACTGGTGGTAGCCAGGCTTTCAGTCAATGCCAGGGGTGCACAGGACAGAGCCCTTGCATCTGCAGACTGGGAGAGCAGGTTGCATAGATCTTGTCTCCCAAGGGCTGCTTCTTATAAGCAAACTTGACTCCCATACATATTTTTAATAATTTTAATTAAAACCTATTTAAAATATGGAGCTCTGTAATTTTCATGGCGCAACCAAATTTTCTGTGATAAATGGCCATGGCGGAAGTCACTGATGCGTGAGGCCAATGAGCACTTGAGACGTGGCTAGTGTGACTGAAGAACTGAATCATTTATTTTATTTTATCCTAATTAATTAAAATTGAAATAACCACATGTGTATAGAGGCCCCCAAACTGGAAAACAGAGAACTAGAATTCCATCTTTGTTTAATTTGCCCTCTTATCAAAGAGCCAGTGTCAATAAAAGATCATTTTTTTTTAAAGTTTAGTCAAAAGCAATGTAATTTCCTAGTAATAGGAAACAGTTATCCTTTATTCAGCTGTCACTGAAATCCTCTTCCCCCGCCCACCTCATTGTGTTGGAAAAGTAGTTAGCGGAAATTTCTTTCCTTCTATTGACCTTAGAGTTATCAAGAACTTCATTAGTTACAGATATTACACTGCAAGGAATTATTGAACAAATTAACAATTAAACTCTGATTAGTTACTGTTTTACATATAATGTTTTCATGCCAGGTACTGGGCTTTATAACCCTTATTTCCCTTCATGAGTCCTTACAACAATACTATGAGTTTTGTTCCTTCTTTTTTTTAGACAAATAATATGAGAGTTAGAAAAGGTTAATAACACACACAGAGTCACACAGCCGTTTAGTCACTCCATGATGGTGTAAGTCCACCACTGTCGTCCTCCAGCCCCGCCATCGGCCACTAGACCTCCCCGTAGCAGCCACTGTCTGTCCTTACTGACAACGAAACCTACCTGAAGGATGAAGTGGAATTTTCCAAGTAAAGGTGGAATTTCCCCAAAGAACAGAACACGTAGTGTCAGGAATGGCAGATGTGGAGAGAAGGGAAGAGGACTCTGCCAGGTTCCCTATGACTTTGTACAGAAGCTCTGCCTGGGCTGAGGAAGGGGACAGATGGCGGCCTCCCCCGAGGGTGGACCAAGGGCTTGGAGTAGAGCTACCTCCCAGCACGCAGGACAGTGTCCACGAAGGCAGGCCACAGCACAGAGCCCATAGCAGACGCTGTACTCCAGGCTGGCCGGCTTCCATCAGCTCCTTAGGTTTTGCCCACAGCAGCTCTGTCTTTTTTTTTTTTTCTTTTACTTTTTTAATCTTACTTTTTACAGCTGGTATTGTGTATAACCTTTTGTTAACAGCTTTTTAAATTCTTTTGGAATTAGGTGGGACTATAAATAAAAATACACTAACTTACATATAATTGTAAAAATATGAAACATGAACAAGTTAATAATTTAACTTGTCAGGAATGGGTCATTTCTGCCTGTAAGTTATATTAAGGCGGTTGTCCCTTATCTGTCTAAAGTTTAAAACATTTGGGGGAATTACAGATACAGGCCTGTCTCGTTTTATCATGTTTCACTTTATGATACTTTACCAATATTGTGCTTTTCACAAATTGAAGGTTTGTGGTAACCCTGCACCAAGCAAGTCTATCAGTGCCATTTTTCCAACAGCATGTGCTCATTTTGTGTCTCTGGGTCACATTTTGATAATTCTCTCGATATTTCAAACCTCTTCATAATAATTACATCTGTTATAGTGCTATGTACTCAGTGATCTTTTTTTTATTTTTTATCCATTTTTTAAAATAAATTTTATTTTTATATTCCCCATACAATTGCAACCCCCTTATTTTGACCCCAATCCCTCCCCTCCCGCCCCCCACCTCCCATAGAGTGTCTCTGGTTCATAGTTGTTTGTTGATTTTGATTTTCACTTTCTTATAGTTATTCATTTTCCTGGTCCCTTATTTAAGTTTTCTAGATTCCTGCTATGAGTGAGACCATCCGGTATTTTTCTTTTTCTTTCTGGCTTATTTCGCTGAGCATGATCCCTTCCAGCGCCATCCATGTTGCTGCAAATTGCATGTGTTTATCTTTTTTGAATGCTGAGTAATATTCCATGGTGTATATGTACCACATCTTCTTGATCCAGTCATCTATTTTTGGGTATTTGGGCTGTTTCCAAAGCTTAGCTATTGTAAACAGTGCTGCTATAAACATAGGGGTGCAGGTGCCCAGAGCAGCTCTTTGTTTGTTTGTTTGTTCAAAACACTGGCTTCCTGATAAGATGCTAAAAGAAGCGGCGAGGACCCCTGATCTCTACCACACACTACACTACCAGCCTTTGCACGTAAGCGCCCCAAATCAAACTTAACTCACTCTTCTCAGACCTGGGCCCCATCTGCAGCCCCTCATAAATAGTCCCACATTCAGCCTGGTGCCCAGGCCAAGTGAGGTTCACACCAGTGAGATAAGCCACACCTGGATCCCTTCCCTCCCCCACTCCCCAAATCAGTACCTCAAGCCCTACACTCCCAGTCCCTCTTCTGTGTTCTCTATCCTGTCCCAGCCACACTCATCTGGATGGCCTACCTGGCCAGTCTCCCCACCAAAGCTCCAGCGGCCTCCAGCTATTCCTGCACAAAGCCACCAGGCTGATGCTTCTAACACAAAATCTGATGACCTCACTTAGTGCAACAAACTCTCAAAGGCTCCCTCACCACAAGAAAGGATTTAACCTCCTTGGTGTGACACACACACCTCTGTGACCTGGTCTTTGTTAGCCCTTCCTCCTTCCTTGTAGTCTCTGCTCCCCACCTATTGGGGGCCCTCTGACCAATCCATGCTCTCTAAGTCTAGGTGCCTGTGACTGGGAGCACTGGCCTCTGCTGGTGTCTGGAAAGCACCCAGATGATACACATCCCCCTGGGGAATGCAGAGCTCCTGTGCTGGCTGCTCACACACCTCTGTCAAACAGTTTTCTTCCATGTCCATCCATGTGATCCTAAGACGTCCCCTGGTCTTTGCCTTCCCTGCCCTGGCATGACGCCTGGCACACAGCAGGTACCTGGTAGCCATCTACACCACAACGAGAGTTATCAACTGAACCTGGGACCCAGGCAGGCAGAAGCACAGACACACAATGAGCTGAGCTGCTCTCTCAGTCCTGGCTTCTCCCATCACTGACACTAGGTTTGAGTCAGTCCCATCACTGACACTAGAAAAAGTGGAGTCTTATAGAAATAAACTATATTACTAGCTCGTGCATTTCCCCACATGGTCTGTGGATGTGCAGAATAATAATATGAACTTTTTTTGAGAGAGGCATTAACAGAGGAATGAGGGAGAGTCACTTGTAAAATTCCCACTAAAATTCATCTCTCCTCTTGGACGTCAGGACAGCAATTACCCTGGAAAGGAGATGGTGGGCTCCAGAGGGGCTGTCACATTTTCTCTCCTGTCTGCTTAATGGCTACAAAAGTGTGTCCACTTTGCAACAATCATTATGCACAGTTTTCAATACATTTATTATTTTACTGGAATAAAAAGGATAAGTGCAGCCTAAAGATTGCTTAGACCAAGAGTGAGCTGGAAATAAAATTGAATGAAGGCATTATGCACCCTCACCATGAAATACCAAGCACCTTTCTCATCTCAGGCCATTGCTTACATTGGTGGAACAAAGTTCCATTTTCTTTTCCACTGGATCCACAACAGAATGTTCTTTGATGTATGTCAAAGTCCTACTGGTTCCCAAAACCTAAAAAACAAAGCAAAACTAGCATCGTGACATGTTAAAAATTGTATTTCTCATCATCAAATACAAAACCACTTCCTTTGCTAGTTAATTCACATATCTATGACCAATGATACAATTTGGAGTACACAGCAGTGCCCAGCCCCACAAAGCTCTCCAGGGTTCTCCCGTTCCAGCAGAATGAAGAAATCCATGAACTTGAGAGAACTGGAGGTGTGATAGCAATAGATGCTTTGACAAAAAATAACTAGAGGAGAGGGGCAGGGGTGTCAGTGGCATCTGAGCCAAGTCAAGAGGGTGGTGGGGTGCTATTGAGACACAGGGCTAGCTAGGAATTATGCAGTTTTAGGGACAGTGCAGGAGGGGACCATTGAAGAATTTAGGGAGGCTTCAGAGATAAGGACAACCAAAGGAAAGTAACCCATTCCACTAGGAAAAACACACATCCCAGGACCAAGGACAACATTGTTAATGCTAGTCCTGGTTTCCTTCAGGTGGTAAAGGGAGGCGGAGATTGGAGAAACGGAGAGTGGTTTAATTTACAGACACATTAGAAGGGCAGCTGTTTAACTTCAATGCAGGGATGCCCATCCAGAAGACTGGGCCATAAATTTAAAGATGCAACAAATGGGGAAAGAGAAAGCTGTTAGATAAGGAACGTGAAGATCCCCCACTCAGTAGCAAATTAAGTGAGACAGCCGAGAACTAACCAATCACAAAGAGACTGGGGCAGCTTTAGCTAAAATAATGAGGGAAAGAAGGTATATATTCCCTGAGACACGACTCCACTTTGGCTTCCTTGCCCCTCCCTGGCCTGGTTTCCTGGCCTGGGAGTCCCACTTTATTTCTGCTCTTTTTCTCCTCAATAAACTTTTTCTTTCTCTAAGCAAACCTGCCTCTTCTCGCTTGCTTGCCTGAGCGTCTGCGAAGTTCCTGCTGCGGCTTCGTGAGACACCAACCCGTGGGGGTCTAGCAGCTGGGGCTCAGCGCTGCCCTGCAGCCTGGGATCCGTTCCTGGCTGGGAGACTAGGCCTGACAATTCCGGTATCACTATGCTGAGTCCGGGATGAGGGTCAGCTGCAGAGACCCCGAAGGTCCTATGTCAGAAGCCCACGTACAGGGGGGAGGAACAGGTGAGGGCAGCCCAATGGGCAAATGGGGCATGTGCCAGGACTTGACTCCTCACTGAAATCAGGGATGGGTGTTCAGGAAGGAATAAGCCGCGCTGAATCACACTTGCAGTGAAAAGAGTCTTGTCGTGGACTGAATGTGAAAAGGTGGGTCTGTGAAAGGGTCTTGTCATGGACTGAATGTATCCCCCAAATTCCTGTTGAATCCCTAACTGCCAGCAGCACTTTGGAATGTGATGGTATTGGGAGCGGTCATAGGGGGGCCCTAACCAACCTGACTGTTGTCCTCCTAATATGAGATCAGAACTCAGAGGGAGATTTGGAGCACGGGAGCAGGGCGCCGCTGAGGAGGCAGCAGTAGGGCAGCTGTGCAGCTCAAAGGGAGAGGCTGAAACAGACCCTTCCCTCACGGTCCTTAGAGGAAATCATGCTGCCCACTTGGGTCTCAGCTTCCAGCCTCCTGAACTGCGAAGTCGAAACTGTCTGTGTTTAAGCCCCCTGGTCTGGGGTATCTTTTTATAGTAGCCTGATAAAGGATACAAGACAGTGGGGTGACTAGAAGAGGATTGGGTGTGATGTGGGGGGGTGTGATCACATCAGGAGGTGAGTCAGAATACAATTAAAGCCATGAAATGGATAATTAAGTGAAGTTTACATAGAAACAAACCATCTCTTTGTTTCTCCAGAAAACCTGAGAGGGCATCTAAGGAAGGTGTCACTTTGCCTTTTCCCTGCAGATGGGTGCCAGCCAGGGTGACGCAGATGCAGGGTGGGGTGGGGCAGGGAGCATTTAGGTGTGGCCCGCAATGATGCAGGTATATAAGGGGTGAGTTGGCTATACAAAGATTGGGTGATGTGGGTGTAGGCTGGGCAGTGGAGTTATCAGCAGGGCCATGCGGGAGCTGCAAGATGAGCAGATTGGGGCTCACCGCTCTCACGAGGCCGGGCAGCCCCCATTCAGTGCTGAGGAGCCGGTGGCTGTGAAGCCGGCCCCGACCGTCCACAGTCCTCTCCAGCACATCAACTCCCACCACACAGGGATTCATCGGATTTGGGTACTTCCTCATGGCAGCCTTGATGACTGTGTCCCATGGGTGGCTGCAAGAAAAATAAATCATCCAGCATAAGCAGGCAATCCCCATGATTGGTAAAGTTCACCCAAGTGGCCGAAAAAGCCAGAGACAACTAGAGTGAAGTGAAAGTTAATACTAATGCTGTTATTTTTTTAATCACTTTATTTTAATTAATTGATTGACTGACTGAATTGAGGGATGAGACAGAGGTGCACACCTCTTCAGATATGTGTTACCATACACCATGTGTTATCACACACCACCAAGGCACCCATAATCCTTTCAGCTTTCAGTTAAGGGTGCATTGAAACAAATATATCTGTGGAGGTAGGCACCACACCCAAATCCTGGATCCTTCGGGGCCAACCAGAGGTGATCAGAAAGCTCTTTGTGGCAGGCCTCAAGGGGACTTGGAGACTCACAAGGGCTCGGGGCTGGCCCACTGTGCTGGGTTCTACATGCCCAGCCTGCCCTCCACCCCAGGCTCCCTCCTCCTCCTCTCCCTCACCCCAGACTCCCTCCTCCTCCTCTCTGGCTCTTTTCCTCTCTTAGCACTTTTCCTCTCTTAGCACTTCCTCCTCCTTCCCGGCCCTCCCTAGTCCACACTGATACAGGTCTCCTCATCTCCACTGCCTTCCCCAGACTCTCCCATCTGGCTCCTTGGGGATGGAAGGGGGTGGAAGGAATCATTGCCTGCTTTTACCTTTTGCCTGCAATGTTGCAGTCAATGAGGTCTTGGCTGGGCCTTCTACTTGGGCTCTCTATCCTTGTTGACAACTGGACAGTCATAAGAAAATAACATGCCTGCCTTGTACTTCTCTAGCACAGGTTACTCTGGCTACTGGTGCAACAACTCTTCCAACTTCTAAGTGGTGTGTGACTTGAAAAAGCCACCTATTTCTCTGATTATAAAAAGACTTGATCAAACTTCTAAGAAATAAAGAAAATTGCGAAGAAAATTAAATGCATCTACAATTTCACTGTTTAAAGATAACCATGTGGAAGCCCCTGAGGCTCTCCCCTGCCCAAGTAGAGTGCCTGCTGCTCCTTCTCTGGCCCCAGCCTTTGGGGGAGGAATGGTACCTTTGTCACTGTTTCATTTCCTGTCATCAGAGGGGTCCCAAGCTAGGGATACAGCTGCCTCATTGCAGATCTGTGTTTATTTAGGGGGAAACACTATGGCTGTTCACCAAGGCTGGGGGAAGCCAGGCCAGGAGGGCCATCCGGGCTCAGGGTGAGCCTTCCCTGAGCCACCTATGTCCTAACCCTTCCTACAGGGTGTGCACTTGCAGGAAGCGCCTGAGCCCCCTGCAGAGGTCTTGCTAGCACCATCTTTCTTCCAGATGTACCCAGACATACTGGAATAGCATGTGCAGCACAACCCAGACACTTTTCCTAACCAGAGGCTTTTTTCAGAAATATGATTATAAATAGCTACATAACAGATCATCCTGTGGATAAATAACCCCACGGGAGGTTACTTAGATTGCTTCCAATTTTGCACTATAATATAAAGTCAGGAATGAACATCTGTGTGGACAGTGTAATTCTCCTTTAGGATAAACTTCTTGAAACAGAATTACTAAATCAAATAGCAAAGATTATGACTATTTTGAAGATCTTTATTCTATATTTGATGTCCTTTTTAAACATAATTTATTATTACCATTAATTTACTTTATTCTCATAAAATGCTCGTCCTAGGTCAAAAAGTTAGCAGCAGGATCCAGACGGGATCAGGGTCTCCTGGCCCCTACCCTGTGCCCTTGCCATTATATTCCATGGCCTCCAAATTATCAGGGCCTGGCCTAGAAACCCCTCTTAAACAGAGAAATGTTTTTTCAAACCATAGAATGACCACTAAGGTAACGTGTCCATATTAATATAGAATGATAAAAAAAAAGCAGAGATTTGGTTGATATGGACCACGCCACAGGATACAGAGAGATTCCTTTCTTTCCCGCGGATGAACTGTCAGGAACACGGTAGGTCCAAAATACAGGGAAAGGGAGAGACTCTAGAGAAAGAGAGAACCAAAAGAGCCCTAGGAATCGGGACAGTGGGTGCTTCTCAGTGAAATAATCTGTGAGCTGTTGCCACAGATTCTCCCTTCCAAAGACTATCCCTTCGAAAACTACCTAAAATCATCTAACAGTTGAGAAATATTTGTACTAAACCCATTCATACAATGTTTTTCAATATAGAAATGCAATCTGCTTAAAATATTCACATAATAAAGAATCCTACTAATTATAGAATGACCATACACATTGAACAGAACATAATATTTTCTTAAATACAAGGATAAAGAAAAGAGTAAACATAATAATACATTTATAAGTAACAATTTTTAAGTACAGTAAGTCAACATCACATACTTCTTGGTTAAAGACAATAGTCTTACACTCATTCAAGTGACAAAACCCAGAAAATCCGGCAATGTCAAGTGCTGGCAAGGATATGGGAGAGCAGAAAGACAGGACAGCAGCTGACAATTAGCACAAAGCCCGAGAGTGTTTACCCTAGAGATGCTGAGAAGGTGCAGGGTGTCAGGGTCCTCACCTACCTGCCTATGAGGCAGACAAGGAATTTGCTGCAGTTTATTCTCAGGAGTAATTGCCTCAGGTTGTAGTCACAGCTCCCAGTGGCCATGCACTGATCCCCAAAATGGTGGCCTTGGGGCCCCACATCAGGTTGACTGCATGTGGTCTGGGCCTGGCGAAAGTACTCATGCCCGGACCCTCACTGTGTAGTAAAGAGGCGAAAAGCTGGCATCGCTCTCTCTCCACACAGCAGGATGTCTGGAGATGTAGTGGGATGAAAGTATAGGATGTCTGGGTGTTGTCTAAAAATATTCCAGGGGTTCTCTATGTATATTATATCGTCTGCAAATAGTGATAGTTTTACTTCTTATTTTCCTAGGATTCCTTGTATGTCCTTCTCTAGCCTTGTTGCTCTGGCAAGGTCTTCCTGAATTGAAAAAGGAACTCTTATGCTGCTGGTGGGAGTGCAAAATGGTCCAGCTGTTAACAGAGCAACCCCAATATAAAACGGGTTGCCTGACCGTGGGTCCTCACCCACGTGCTTAAAGGGGACTTATTAATGCTAAACTAAACTGCAAAAACACAAAAGGTTGATAAAATGTTTATTTACAAGGGAAGGGGACATGGGAAATGAATAACTCAGGGAGAAAAAGAGGGAGATAAGTTCGTAAATGCGTCCTATCCATTCCTCTGACCTGGAATCCCAATGACCCGCCAGGCTGGTGAAAAACAGAGTGTGCCGCGTGGCCAAGAGGGCGACCCCTGGCCACATGGCCGGTTAAATACTCAAACCAGCTAACATAGTTGCTTAACTCTGCTCTCAGGTCCTCAAAACTTTCCCCTTGGGGATCATGGGATTTGTAGTCCCCAGTGTCTTGATGGAGTGGGGGTGGAGTCCACAAAGCCTATATGGAGTTTGCTCAGCACATCCTTTCCCCCTAACACAACCACTATGGAAAGCTGTGTAGAGGACCCTCTAACTACTAAAAATGGAGCTATCATATGACCCAGTAATTCCACTCGTAGGGATATATCCAAAGGTCACAAAACCACTAATTTGAAAGGAAATCTGCACTCCTATGTTTACTGCAGCACTATTTAAAATATCAAAGATATGGAAAAAACCTAAATGCCCCAAAACTAATGCCTGGATCGAGAAGATGTGTTATATGTACACAATGGAATACTATTCAGCAATCAAAAAAGATAAACTCATGCCATTTGCAGCAACATGGATGAAGCTGGAAGGGATTATGCTCAGTGAAATAAGTCAGAAGGAAAAAGAAAAATATTGGATGGCTTCACTTATTAGAAAGAATATAGGAGAAACAAACAAGGGTTTGGGGGAAAAAAAAGACAAAACTAACAAGCAAATTATAAATCAGAGACATTCAGCAGGGGAAGAAGCAGGAGAGGGATCAAAACAGGGGAGGGAAAAGCACAAGAGACTATGGTGACGGTTCACAGGTATCTTGGTGGTAGCAATTTTATGGAGACAACACCTGACAGGAGAAACCAAACTTGTACAAAAATAAACAACGATGTAAATATATATAAATAAAATAAAATAATCCAGGGGAAGGAGCAGTGGGTGGGCACACCTGAAACCAGACTGCCTGAGAGAAGGTGACCATCATCCTGGGAGGTGGTACACTGGGTGATCACTATTCTAGCCTTTCCGCTCTTGCATATTTTGGAAATTTCTGAAAGAACAAGTTTTACAAAAAGATGAAGGCAGACACAAACTAGTGTCTGGCACCAGTCCCACAGCAACTCAAGGCCCAGACCTTCTGAGTAAGTTTCCCCCACAGTGGGCTGGGGGGTCTCACAGACCCAATCAGGACTGAGTGGCCTGAGCTGTGCTTCTAAGTCATCATGTCTTTTCCCTTTATTGACATTCACCCCAAGATTCCAGAGTTGAGGCCAGAATTACAGCCGGAGCCCAAGCCACACCAGAGCTCACTCCTGGGCACTTGGGAAAACCATGCCCATGTCTCCCAGGAATATAATGATGACACAGTAAATTTATTAGCTTAATTACATCTAGAACCCTGAATTCTGTTCTTTTAATACTCTGGGGTAGGAAATGGAAGTCCAAGCTTTTGCTGTCTGGGAATTCATGCATGGTGGTCAGGAACACTGGCAGCTGATGGGGTTATGAGCCAGTCAGCTGCTGCTTCTCGTGCCCCCCCAACAACCAGCAAGACAAACTGTGACAGAGACATGGGTATTTTCTCAAAAATTCCCATTCAAGGAAAATAACCAATAATGTTTGCTGCCAAAGATAAAATGTGAGTTTTCAAGTGAAAACTGGAATTTTAGAAAATCTGTGTCTGTTACTAGGAGCCTGATCACTGCCCCATACTGTGAACTGTGAACCCACATGTTCCAGATGAGCAGGACAAGCTGTCACAAACTCACCCACGGGTAAAAGACTCTAGGTACAACAGGATGCGGTTTGCAACAAGAAGGGAAACTTAATGTCCCTTCAATAAGAGAGGGGATAAATTATGACATATACAATGCACAATTATACAACCAGGCTATGTATGTATATATATGTATATGTGTATACCTATGTATATACATACAAGTAATTTCAAAAACATACTGTTAAGAAAAAAAGTAAACTCAAAAGATTTGTAGATGATGATGCCACTGATTTCTATTTTAAAACAAGCAATATTACATATTGTTTATGGATTAACACAAGCATGCATTAATGCAGTCAAATGGACCTCTAGAACATAGATGTTCAGGATACCAACAAATTCATAATCGTGTCTTCCTGTGAGGAGAGAAAAAGTGAGGGACAGCACTGGGGAGCAGGATAGTGGGTTTTCAACTCTTCTTTGTAATGTTCAATTTACTCAAAAAAAAGGTGTGGGTGGGGTGAAGGGTCTCTTCTCACTGCTCCTGGCTAGAAAGCAAGTCAACTTCAGGTCATCCTCTCCTTCAAAGCCCTTAATCCCTTCAGATGGTCACCACCTACTAGAGACATTTCCTGGTAACTGCTGGAATCCAGGGAAAGCATGACTTGAAATCTACTTATGTTGGCTGTTACTGAAGATCTTATTATGGGCCTATCTGTAACATCAGTCAATGCTGTGAGGATGCATTTGTAAACCTACACTTACACACCTGCTAACTTAAATGCCTAATCTTAATTTTTGTATTTCAGTCCTATATTTTTCATTACCATGAAAACTACTTAAAACCTTGTCTAAATAACTCGGATAGCTTTCCCTGTGGGCTCTCGTTTCTATAGAAGTATTTCATTTCCAGCCCCATTGGGTTTCCTTGGGATGGAAACATGGGAAGAACAAAGTATGATCCAAAAATTTAGTACCTCGTTATTTCAAGAGCGAATTTATTAATTTCTAATAAAAATTTACCTGACAGTACAATAAACATATAAAAAGAAAAGCCAATAATTCTTGAGGGAAAAAAATCAAGGATTTCAGTGGTCTACACTAGGGGAAACTTTCAGTTTTGTATTGTCCCATGGGTCCTATACTGCCACAAAGGATTATATCACTTGTAACCTTTCCAGCCACCAGGGACCCACCAGACACCATCCTGCACCAGCTGCATTCCACGTTTGTCAGTTTTCATCATGGCCCTTTGTTTTTAACTCCAAAAATCAATGGCAGAGCCTCAGTGGATAGTCTTCAGCAGCGTGGGGTGGACTGGAATTCCTTTGGGTGATAGCTGCCCTCCTTGTTGGAGAGCATCTGGCCTTGGTGAAATTCTCAGCCGCCTGGCTGAGCTCTGGCTATGTCTCAGGTGCTAGCAGGGAGCCAGGACTCAAGAGAATAAGGAATGAAGTACTGATACAGCCATCACACATATGAACCTCAAAAAAATTATGCTAAGTAAAAGACAGACACAAAAGGTCACATATTGTATGAATTTATGAAATGTCTAAAAGACAACAGAAAGTGGTTGCCTGGGGCTGGGAGTGGTGAGTGACTGCAAATGGGCATGAGGGCTTTTGGAAGGATGATGGAAATGTTCTAGAAATGATACATGACAATGGTTGCACAAGTTTGTAAATTAAAAACTGTTGAATTTTACATTTTTTAAAAAGTATGACATATTATATATAATTAGGTGATATGTAAATTATAGTTCACTAAAAACTTAAGAAAATGCCAGTTGGCAGCTACGAAATTGTTCAAAAGTATCAACGGCAAGTATTCACAGCAAATTCTGCAGCTCGCTTCTGCTTATTAGTCAACTTTGCACGACCCTCTCTGGCGGGCCTTGTCATGGGGGTTCCATGACAAAACTGAACCCCACTTCTACCTTCTGCATCTAGGTACTAGTTACTCCCATCCTTGTGAGAACTGAGAAACCCCTGTGGTTATTCTCTTAGGGGCTTTCACTGGGTGTCTCAGGGAACCCCCCTTGAGAAAGGCAGCAGGCACAAAAATCAACCGAAAAATTCGATCCCATCCCGTAAAGATTTCATAAAAAACAACTTCAGAGGTTTTAAAACACTTGGTAAATTTTTATTATACTTTTACATTAAAGGCTCAAGGAATAGCAGTTCCGTCTCGGCCCGTCACCTCCCCTGCCCCCCTCCGCTCCCACGATTGTGTGATCAAGAGATCTTTAAAAATCTCTGCTCCTTTGAAAAAACACTGCAGAACATCACCGGTCGGTGGCCAAGGGGACGGCACCGCGTGGGCCTGGGGCCCGGGGGCGGGTGGCCGTGTGCGCGCGGGGATGGAGCCCCGGGCCGGGGTCCGCGCGAGCCCAGCACCCGGCCGCCCGCGCCCGCCCCCGGCGCCGAGGCCCCCGCGCCGCGGAACACGCTTCTCACGGGCCGCCCGCGCCGCCCCCGCGGACACCCGGCCGCGTCTCCGGGCTCTGCCGCGCGCCCCCACCCCAAAGAGGCGCCGGCGAGACCCGGCCGTTCCGCGGCACCGGGGGGCGCGACCGCGCCGGGCACCCGGTCCTGCGAGGGGCTCCCGGCCCCGCCGCCCTGCGCCCCCCCGCGGTGCCCCCGGCGGAGAAGACACCCCGCCCCCGAGTGGGCGACGGCGCCCCCCGCGCCCGCGCCCCCGCCGAGCCCCGAGCGCGCAGAGCCCGCGCCTGCAGGCGCCGAGGCCGCGGTCCGCGAGCGGCCGGCCGCGCCGGGGGGCTCCGCGGGGTCCACGTCGGGGTCCCGCCTTCCCCGGCCACCCCCAGCCGCTCCCCGGCAGAAGGGGGCGCTGAGGGGCCCACCCGGCCTCAGCCCGGCCTCACCCGAACACGTGCTCCGAGCTCCAGATCCTCATCGCCGCCCGCCTCCGACCTGCCGGCGCCGGTGCCGGCTGCGGGTTGCGCGCTCCGGGCGGCCGCGCCTCCGCCGCGGGGCGGAGGGGGGGGGGGTGGGGGTGCGGGGCGGGACTGCGGCTGGGGGCGGGGGGGACGGGACTGCGGCTGCGGGGCGGGGGCGGGGGCGGGGGCGGGGCGGGACTGCGGCTGGGGGTGGGGAGTGGACGGGGCGTGGGCGGGGCGTGGGCGGGGCGTGGGCGGGGCGGGGCGGGGCGGCGGCTGACGCGGCGGGAGGGGCGGGGCGGCCCGCTCGCGGCTCTCGCAGGTCCGCCCACCCGACGGTCAAGTGACTGCGCCGCAGGCGGTCGCCGAAAATAGGGCTGCGGCACCGGCTGCACCTGCGGCCGTGGGGTCCGCGTTGCGGCGGGAGCTGCGCACACAGCAGCCGCCGCAAATGGCGGGTGGCGTCCCCTCGCTTCTCCTTGGTGTCGCCCACATTCTCCCAAAGCCCAGCCCAGCCCTGCGGGTTGGGAATTATAGAGAAACACAGAAGCTGCTGTGGGGTGGAAGAGACTGAAAACAAAGGCAGTTTGGATCAGCACTGACTCGGAATGTGATCGCGTCACGGGCAGTCCACTGAAAAATACAAGCAACCTCACCTTTCTTACAGTCACAGCTGTTTTTCCAAGACCAGGACACATTTGCCACACGGTTCATCCTGGATTCACCTGGTAAATGCAGTTGCCATTTGTGTTTGCTTATACTCAAAGAGAAAACAAATGTTTCATGTCTTTGCCACAGGAGGTAGGTTTGCAAGTCTGGCGCTCCCTGGAAGCCAGGTTCCTGTGCTCCTGCAGAAACCCGAGGACACAACAGCTGTCTCCTGGATGACAGCATTTCAGAGAAATGGCTCAGAGGTCCTTGAGAAAACACATTCCAAGGTTGCAAAACTGGCAAAGGCCTATTTAACTTTTAAAAAACACCCCATTGACACACATCTTCTATGTATTAAAAAAGACAAAAATTACAAAGACAAGATTTCTAGAGTAAATGATCTGAGGAAAAGAAAAGGGGAATCTCTCTGCCTTTTGCACCAGGGAGAAATGATTTTTTTCTTTTTAGATTTGTATGTTTTTCTGCACTGTTGCAAATGAAATTCAAGTGCAAAGAAATGAGATGCTTGCTTTGCTTTCATTCCCCTGGAATGAGAGTCTAGTTCACTACAGAATCTCAACACCTAGCACAATTCCTTGCACAGAGTGGGCATCTGGACCCTATTTGTGCAACAAACCGACAATATGGAATAAGCACTAGGCACCCTCCAGGAGACCTGAATTAGGACCCTGGCTCCACCCTCTCCTCCATGACATTTACCAACAATGACCATAACCTCACAGTAGTTTTCCAAAGTCAGTGCTATTAACCCTGTTGTATAAATAAACAAATAGAGTTCAGATAGGTTTAAAAACTGTCTCCTGTAACACTGAGAAATAGAACTAGAACTGAGCTAAGAACCAGATTTGCAAGATTTCCCTTTCCCACCAGCAAGTAGAAATTATAACCCTGCTAGTTGTGGAACACTTCTAGATATTATCTGCACTAGCATTAAGCTAGGTACTGTTATTTTGGTTTTATTCCAAAAGTACCTATTGAACATGAAGTTGAAGAAATTGAGCTGGAGGGTGAGAATGAGAAGACTTGATCAGTGAGACAGTTGGGTAACTCTCTCCAGGTCTGAGAGGATCAGCTGCTGAGTGTATCTGTTTTGCATGTGGGGATACCAAGAGCCTAACCAGCAGTGCCTTAGTGCAGAGATGCTGCTGAGTGCTGGGGCTAGGGCCTGGAGTGAAATGGGGGCCACCTCCGCTCCCCAGACTTTTCATCATAGTCTCACCATTATCTGCACCAGTTTGCCTGTGATGCTATGTGCACACCTGTGGGTTCTCAGTTAGCTGCCAGGCCTGGCTTTGGGGCCCAGACTTCCGTGTAGGTCACGGGCTATGGAGAGACCCCTGCTCCCCAGTTCACCACAGCATATTCTGATCGCTGGCTTGCTTCTCTGCTTCTCCCATGGGTCTGAAATCTAATCTTTTGAGATTGGGAACCATAATGTTATTATTCTTGATATCCAGAATGTTATTATTCTTGGTATTTCCAGAGTCAAGAACATAGCAGGCACACAACGTATCAATAATCACTGGATGAAATAATAAATGAAAGGCACACCCCTGTTTCAGGTGCTACACGGATGTCTCCATTTCCCATACAAGTCCACCCTCCTGCAGTCTCCCCTTTTGCAGTTCCTCACTGTTACACCATGTGTGTTCCAGAAGCAGAAGGTGCATCACCTGGGAGCTTGTTGGAAATGGAGACTCCCAGGCCACTCCACCCCACCTCAAAGCAGCTGGGGCAAGGATTGCGGGGCAGGTATTTGTGATGGGGACTCTGATACTAATGGAGACCACGATCCTAGATCCACTTGAGCTGCATGTCGACTGAACCATGGTCTCCTATATATGCCTCCCCTTGTCATCACGTGCTCCTCCATGCTTGTCTGGGAAACATCTTCCAGGCACAGAGAACAGAATGTGCAGAAGTTCAGACCATGAAACATGTAATGGCCTTAGGAGGCCGTAAGTTATCTGTGAGGCTGGACTCTGTGGTCTCAAGGGGATGAGTCCAGAGTTGAGGCTAGAAAGGTAGATGGGACCTTTTAGTGTAGGACCTGACATTTCAGTATTAGTCTAGATTTTACCTTGGAGACAATGTGTTTTGACAGATTTTAATGTTAAGAATTCTGAGGTGAAACAGTTCAATATCCATGTGAGAGCCAGGACATGGACTTAGGTGGCACAGGAGGCAGAAGTGAAACGCGGATAAAGATGCTGCAGATAGGAAGTCTGTCCAAGCTGGGTCGAGGGGTCATGCTGGACACGTGGCACCTGCCTACACTGTAGCACCTGTCAGTCTGCATCCTGAAAGTGTGTCTGCTTAGGTCTCCGGGTGGACGGGGCATAGAGGAGAGGCACATGCTTTTCAGCTTTTATTCCAATGACTGGAATGGTAAGAGTTTATTTTTCTTTAAGGTTTTTATTTATTTATGCATACAAGAGCTGGGGTGAAAGCTAGAGGTGCAGGTGGTGAGAGGATTCACCATAGACAGAGAGGGAAGCAGAACAGGCAGAAATACTGAAATACACTGCTGAGGGGAGCAGCAAGCCAGACAGGAGAGGTCTGCTGTGCCATGTGGGTCAGCTCCCTGGCTGGGGATTGAACTCGCACTGCAATAGCTGTGGATTGCTTTATCGTGGATGCTTCACCCCTTGCACCACCAGAGAGGCCCCTGGAATGGTAGGAATTTAACACATTTGTCCCATTGCACGAATAGGAGGGAAGTCCAACTGCTTTTTGAGAAGGTAATTGTGACTGTGTGGAGAGGCAGATCAGACAAACCTAAGGAGTTCTAGAGAGTGTCAATAAACCTACAACCCTTGATAGGTGTTTTATTTTTCCAGTGGACTACCCACCATGTGACCTCTGCATCCGGGACTTAGCACTCAGACCAGTACAGTGGGGACACAACTAGCAAAGTATCAAGGATCTCATAATGGATTGGGTTTAGGGGAGGTAGTCTACTCACCCTCTCTTCCGACTTGTCCTGTCACACATCACCCCATCATTTACTGAGGACCTGACAGCTTGGCTTACAGGATCCCCTCTCCAACCCCAGGCCCCCAACTTGCTCCACCTCTTGCCATAATTTTGTCATCCATGTGCATAATATCCAGAAACTCAGCATATGATTCCTGGATCTTCATAACTTTAGTTACCTCCATCCAGTTCCACTTCAATTGCCTGCCAAGTCTACTGCTTGGATCTTGTTTATGTTTTGAATTCACTTCAAATATCTCAAGCTCCAATATTTCACTACAGGGGACTCTCTAACTCTCTAACATAATGACAAGTGTCCTGCTTAGGTGCCACCTCTGTCATATCAGTAACTGCCCAGAAAAGGCAGACCTCCATCTACTCCCAGGTTGGGCTGAGGTCTCAGGGTCTGAGGACAGGGTCAGGGTCTAGCCTGGCCCCATCACTGGCCCTGGAACATGAGGGTATTTGCTCACTAGGAGAAGTGTCTTTATTCCAAAAAAGCAAGTCATCAAAAACCATCTCTTTGATTGTTTGATTTAGTTCCTGGAACTGGTGCAGCCACTTTGCTGTCAGCAGGAAGAGGAAAGCAATGCTCAGAATAGAAATGCAAATAAATGATCCTTGCTGAAGCTCTTCTTAGCCAGCATGAAATCCTCCTTAGCAGGGACTTGCAGCTATGCCAGGAGAAATGTCCTTATTATTTCATGCCATTAGAAACCCCATTTTAGCCCTAATTCCCCAACAGATATACCATCTTCTGAGCACAGCCCATCTTTCCTGAGTTGACCATTGCCCCAAGTGACTCCCACTCTTCAACCTCTGAGCCATCCCCAGCCTTCCATTTCCTCCTACTCCACTAGCCCCTCCTAGACCACAGCTCACAGAGCAGGGATGGACCTTCAACCATCCATCCCTGCTCAGATCCTAAAGGAATCTGCTGCTGCTGAAGAGAAATCACAACCTTACAGGTTAATGTGCTGTGAACAACAGCTGTCCTGTTTCATCCACAACTCTATGGATAATTTTATTTGTCCTTTGTTACCATCCCACCCAACCTCCCCACTGAACCCCAACCTTTCCGGTCTCCAGACCTTCCCTTCAGTTCCTGCTCTCACTGCTGCCAATGACTGCTTCTTGGTCTCTGGACACAGGTAAGCCCAGGGGTGTGATCTCTGTTGCTGTGGGCCCCCTTGCTTATAATCCACGGGGGTTCACAGTGCATTGCGCTGCTGGGTACAGGAATAGTCATGGAGGGAGGATGCCCAGGCTCTAACAATGGAAAATCAATATTTCATTGAAACTTGAGCATGTTGCTTAAGGGCTGAAGGGACCACAAATGGTAGCGAGTGCCTTGCATGGTGTCAGCTTGCGAGGAGGTGCCTGATCCATCTCAGGGGACAGCCCCACTCTACA